TCGAGCCACCTTTTGTTGGCAAGACTAATCATATCGCTTTTATAGTTTCAATTGCGAAAAGCAAAATTTGCTAACTTTAAGGCGAACAGATAATATTTGTAATAAATTACCGATGAAACCAACAGGAATCTTAAGACTATTGTCTGAAAATCTAAGCAAGACTATTATCGGCTCGAGAATTGAGCATAAATAGTCGACTTCTATCCCGAAACCTAGGAGAATCAGGGGACATCCTGTTGTCAATTTATGGGAGGTCGACTTTACTGCTTTGATCACAGACGTCCGATACAGCAGCGGAAGCGCAAGATCTGCTGATGAGCAATTCCGTCGGTCTGTACCTAATCAATGACGGCTAAACTAGGTAAATTTGCGCATGAACCTTTCAATATTATAGATTATACTTTTCCGAGCCACCGAATTGAGCCTGTATTGTTCTATGGCTGAGACCCATTGGATATCGGTTAGTAGCTGTCTGAAAACTATAAGCGTATTAATGGCTGTTACAGTAGGCCCTCAACAGTTGAATACCATCCCCAAGCCAACAGTGATGATTAGTCGAAGCATAATGAAACTAGCCAAGTATTTAGCGAGACACAATGATGAACTGGCCGATCAAGCACTTTTTGGGATTCCCAGCATAAAATAACAACACCTGTTTCCAAACAGTTAAATTTAAAGATTATAAACTTACCGTTGCCTAATTCTGAGAACATGGAACGCACACGTGCCAATATGATTTTACGCGCGAATTACCCAGAATTAACTGAAACTGAATGTTGAAAGAGAATCTTATCGCGTCGCGCGGGGAATAATTTTGGTCACGTACATCATTTTGTGTTCCCTTTTAAATACAATTACCAGTGCAGAGAGTAGTTTCAGAAACGCAAATTCAACTTGCAAAGATTAATTTACCTGGGTAACCTCGCTCAGGCTTTTGCATTTATTAAGTTAAACACATTGATTTAACATTGAACATATTATGGCGATTAAAAATATGTCTATAGCAGATAGGGCGGAATGACAGGTTTAGCAACGCCCAGGAATTACAAGCAGCAAATTCTGCTACTGCTAGTGCATGCTATCAGTATCACGGAGAATCGAAGCAAATATTATAGTGGTACCGTGGCATGTCCATTCTGGGTCAGCGTTGTATATACTTATATATGTTGCATGGATAAGTCCCTGCTTGCTGTTGGCGTTGCTGCGGCGAGGCTGGCTGGAATAATTGTCGGAGAACTCTTTGGCTTCGTACTCTCTTCACTTCTTTCTCCGCACAAAACTGTTCAATCCGTGGGAGGCCCTGTTATTCAAATAAAGTTCTGAACCCTCAATCAAGCGTTTAGTTCTAAAACTTTGGTAATGGAAATTGTAGTTTTGTAGCTTTTCTCATAACTATCGTCCTATCGAACTGATGATCAATAAACATCACGCAGTTTGCTACAATCAAGTTAGTATAAGGAGTCGTTTACATATCAGCAGAGGGGTCTTCCAAATTGCAAATGATTACGATTGACCATATAATATTGTAATTTTGGCACAATAGCACAATACTAATAGCGATACCCGGATTTAACATTTAAACAATTTGTAATCGTATTGCCATGCAGTGTTTGTGTAACTGTAGTACTAGTTGGTAATCGCTTTTCTTTTCAAAAAGTTAATATTTGTTTCCTTCGATAGTAAATTATTTTGTCCCAAATTCATATATTTTCTAATAATACAAAATTGTTTTTAGACCAATTATACAATGTCAATAAGTCATGTGGCATGTAAGGCGCCAAAGACAAATTGCTAAAAGGCTCGGCGCAACTGCAGAAAACTGCCACTAACTGCCACAAACTGCCACTAACTGCTACAAACTGCCACTAACTGCTACAAACTGCCACTAACTGCTGCAAACTGCGCGCGCAGTGCGTGGGCGCGATTGTAGCAGTTAGTAGCAGTTAGTGGCAGTTAGTGGCAGTTTGTAGCAGTTAGTGGCAGTTTGTAACAGTTAGTGGCAGTTTGTGGCAGTTAGTGGCAGTTTGTGGCAGTTAGTGGCAGTTTGTAGCAGTTAGTGACAGTTTCTTTGCACTTTGCTCCTCCTGTGCGGAGGCGGAAATGACCTGGTTAGCTAGGTAAACGCGATGAGCCTTGTAGAATGAAATCCTACTAGCTGACGCCACTCGCAGCTGTGCTGTTCGCTGTACGTCAGCGATCGAAATTTATACGCGTACGCGTATCACCCGTTAAGATGTGCCCCCCGACGCGCCACACAATTTTTTTCGTTGCTCGTCGCACGTCGACGAACAACGAAGCTCGTTGCGACGCGCAATGAGCTGCCAAGCTAGGACATCGTCCTGGTCCAACAAATTTTGGCGACCGATTTTCTCCAAAAATTTAATGAGGGCGCCGACTTCCACTCTGGCTAGGTTTCTTGTTACCCAGCGCGGCGGGTCGAGTACTCATGTACTTGATTATTGAGAGTACCCCATCTTATGAACGATAGATGAACTTACAGTTACATGTTACAATATATTTTGAAGTTTTTGAAGTATATTATATGTATTGATTATTCTGTGGCAAATAAAATTCTCTTTTTCTTAAATTCTCTTTTTCTTAATTCTTGTTCATTGAAATATTACCGCCAGCGAGGAGCCGCAGCTGCGACTGCAAGCCGTGTTACCCACTTTCCTGTACTGTATTGTGATCAGCATGAGTTTAATCAAAGTAATGTGTATCACTCGCTTCACTCGATCCGAAATTAAAGTATATAATCCTACAACGCCAAGCTAGTAATAGAGTTTTATGAAAGCACTCTGGCCAAGTCAGTGGATTCTTTTTACCTAATTTTACCTCATCCCATTAAGGAACGCGCGCTGGGTAAGAAGAAACCTAGCCAGAGTGGAAGTCGGCGCCCTCATTAAATTTTTGGAGAAAATCGCTCGCCAAAATTTATTGGACCAGGACGATGTCCTAGCCTGGCAGCTCATTGCGCGGCGCGTCGCAACAAGCTTCGTTGTTCGTCGACGTGCGACGAGCAACGAGAAAAATTGTGTGGCGCGTCGAGTGGCACATCTTAACGGGGGATACGCGTATAAATTTTGATCGCTGACGTACAGCGAGCAGCACAGCTGCGAGTGGCGTCAGCTAGTAGGATTTCATCCTACAAGGCACATCGCGTTTACCTAGCTAACCAGGTCATTTCCGCCTCCGGCGGTCGCGCGCTACTGCAAGCGAGAGGGCTATAGTTAGAGCAACACATCGCGCCACAAGCCAAATATTTATGAACATCTTGACTAGCTACGCGGTCCTTTTCCGCATGCGCTCGCGCTGTGCTCAAAAATTGACGTCGTCAATCAATCAACATCAAGATTTTAGTTTTACATTTGACCTTTATGTCAAAAAATCTTTGAATTTTCAATCGGTGGTCGATGTTACCTGAGGACCTCAGGCTTCGTCCTTACTTCGTCACAGGACGATCGGAGCTCGAAGAGCGTAGAGAGTGCTGGCTGGCGTCGTCCTGTGATGGTCGACGTATTTTTGCTTGCTTGGATCCGGCCGAATGACGCCACATGCAACGTGTAGGGTATAACTAAAAACGCTTCCCTATATGAGATAATATTACAAAAATTGTTTTGGTCACGTGACCAGTCAATGACATTGATATTTCGCTGCTGACGGTTTGGTGGAGGGTTAGGGTCAACGTTTATACATTATAGGGTCAAAGTTAGGACTATAGTTGTACACTATTAACATTGTGAGGGTAATGGTTAAGGTTTATCACTAGCAACCTTTTCATCTGGCCACAATATTGCAAAATGCTATGTTGTATGTCACGTGACAAATTTAGCCGAGGGTCGGAAGTCGGAAGTCGGAGGTCGGAAGTCAGTGGACTCTGTTGGAGTCCGGCGGAGTCCGAGCGGAGCCCGGCGCGAGCTCTTCACTCAGGAAGCGCAAACACGTCAATATAAAAAGATTCGCGCCCTACGAACTTCGGTAGACCTTAATGCTCGTTACACGTGGTTCACTGCGCGTGCAGTGTCTTCAGTGTTATACAACATAAATCGGATTAGTACTGAAAGCTATTTGTACAGGGATTTTCTTATCGATACTACAAATGACTCATCTTTAAAAAGACACGCTCGACTATTACACAACATATTATTATTATGCATATGTAATTAAATAATTTTTATATAATGTATGTTTTACTTAAACTTTAAGCTTGAAGCTATGAATATTTGTAAATGGATTTTTAATTTTGTCCTGAAACATTGTTTGTTTTTGGAAAGATTTTACAATTGAATTAACTTGGTACCATATGGTTTAGACTTAGCTGATCTTATTTATTATCGATAGTTATACGTTACAAATTATTATACAATGACTCCAGCTCAGCGCGCGTCTTTGTAGGTTATCAGTTATAAACCTACAAATATTTGTATCCCTTAATAAACTCCAATATATTACACAGTACATCAAAGGATAATGATCTCATTGAATAGAGTCACATAATACCATGACAAAAATTTTGACAAATGGATAGGCTTTTGACAAAAATTTTATCCTGTCTAAGTCCCAAAAATGATAAAGTCACGAAATGGGGTAGGGATCATGTTTTTTAAAATTTTTTACGAAAGTTTTTTTACAGCATATTGTTTATCACATTTTTTTACACAAGATTTGCATCATACCGTAATTTTTTTTTTAATATTTTGATAAAAAATAATTTTTATTTGGTTTTCAAAGGACGCACTACACTACGCCGCGCATTTTAAGATATTTAACAAAAATCGTTGTCGCCTGGTTTTTATTATAATTTTATTGCCCATTTAATTTGACCTTGTCGCGTTTTGGTCGCATGTTTTTCTGTTCCCACTCCTAGCACAAAGCTTCAATGCTACACCGTATTATATTTAGTTTGATAGTAGTTGTTTCGTAGAATGAAAGTGAGCTTACTAATTAATCTTGAGAGGTTATTTAATGTAACTGAGTTAGTGCTACTTCCTTTTGGCTGTGATGTGTTTGAGACTTAAAGAAACTTGTTCTAGTAGGGTAATGATAGTACAGTGGATGTCTCTTAGAGTAAATATCTTTTTACACTTATAGATCTGGATAGAATTTGAAAGTTTTACTCTTTTATCAGATCATTTCACTCATGCAACTTATCGAATTTACAATAAACTATTCAAGCCTTGTTTAAATGTGTTTCTGTGCTAGAAAAAGTATACTTATGTGACACTTCCATGGATCAAATCGTGTGAATGGCACGGTAAAGAACAAACACATTCCAAGCTAGAGCTCCAGATCTGCCTTAAATTTCAGTAATGGCCTTCAATCACATTTTCTAGAAAACTGGTGATATGTGATTCTAAGTTGGTCCCACTTATTTTGATTATCTTAGTTTAGCTGTAATATAGAACTCGAAGAGCTGTTATTATTATTCCTTGAACTGCAGGTGTTTTGAAAGTATTTGCAATCTATCTACAACCTCATCCCTGCCCCTATAATGGAGTAGATCATGTGTTTTGTTAAAATGTTTTTGAAAAAATTATTGGTAGCAATGAATTGTGCTCTGCCAATTGCAACACTTAAAATTTGATTGTGCTCTGCCAATTGCATCACTTGATTTAATTGAATGTATATATACTGTTTGACACACTTTTCATTTCTATATTCCTGGTGCAGAAACAGACCTAACTTTATGTATATTGTTTATTCTGATTATTGTAAAGCTCTAGCTCTAAGCAGTTAGCCAGAATGTTAACTTTTAAGTATCATTATTACTAGCTGAACCAGAATTTTCCTTGGGACGAGATTCTTTCCTGGCAAACATTATTATATGCTGGTATAATAACGACCGATTCTTCAGACGAAAACATGTAAGTACTTTGTTCAAGCTTGATGTGACCTTTTTTATCTTACATACAGATGACTGCTTTAGCTCAGCCTTATTAATAAAATAAAACCTCTTACCAAGCGATTGTGGAGAGAAATGACAGCTCTATTCACCATAATCATTTCACAACTATATAACAGTACTGCCAAGTGACTTTAATTTGTGCAAGAATTATTACTGATAAAAATCTAATAAACACATAAAACTGTGTTGTATAAACATTAAACACACTTATTAAACATTAACCACACTTATTTAAACATTAAACACACTTATTTATTGACAGTTAACATTAAGGATGGTTGATACCTGTTAAATTCATTATGCTAATCTGTTTGTTGTTTGTTTGTTTGTATCGGAAACTGACTAAACTCGTTTTTGAGTGTGAATACGGGTGGTACCTGCAAATGTGTTCATTAAACATTTAGAGTTCTGTAATACTGCAGTTACAATTGTGCTAGAGTATTTTTAGTACATACGGTCAATAACTACATGATTCCAAAATTTGTAATCTCCAACTTTCTGCACAATGTACTGGGGAAAAAAAGGAAAATTATATAAAATCAACGATTTAATGTTAGGAAGTTAAATTTAATTCCCTTGTTTCTTAAGTCAGCTTTAAAGTCGGAAAAACAAAATATGTAGGGTCGATACCAAACCGATTATTGAGCGACGATAGCTAAATAGTTGGTTCCTGGGATACAGAGTCCTCCTGATTCTTCAGTCTCTGAGTGTGGTTGTTGCTATTGTTCAGTTCTGTCCATATTTCCTCGTGTTATGTTTCAAAGTTTCGGAGTGTCATGTTGTCCTGGCACTGAGTTCTGTCCACATGTTATGATCAAAGTTTTGGGGTTCATGTTGTCATTCCTCTGACGAAATGATTATAAAATAGTGATAGATTTAATTAAGGAAAGGGCTAATTTGTGGAGCTAAACTGTCCAAGTGACGAGGTTTAACTGCCGTGTTGCTGGGTAGTGGGTACATTATGCTAATCTACTTACCAGTTCATTTACAGCCAATTCTTATCATTATGACTTAAGCAAATAGATATTTTCAATGCAACATTCAAACATCGTTTTTAGGCAAGATTTGGTTTTGATCGTTGGATTAATCACCCAAGGTTACTTGGATAATAATTTGAAATCATTCGAATCACTGATTAAGTGCCAGGATCATGCATCAGCCAGATCTTAAAATAGTCATAACTCGGCTTATTTGTAAACAACCAACTTGAAACTATAGGAAAGCACTTGAATTATCAAACTGTCTGGAAATTTTTGAGTTCCTAACTCAATTTATGGTGACAATTGGGATAAAGAGGGAGTGTCGTGCCAAACATCTGTAATTGATGAAATTTTACGAGATTTTCAGGAAATCTTAACATTTTTGAGTTAATTAGTATGACCTACATCTGCATTCTCTAAGCAATTCTGAATGGGGGTTTTGTGTGGGTAGTTACTTCTGGGACACCCTGTAGAATCTCACTAGTGACAATATACCTTGGTTCTAGAGAGTTTAAGAATGTAACCGCAGTCCGCAACGTTCTGAAAAACTACAAGCCTCAATTTATAAATAAGTGATCTATACTTGTTTTTTAAAATTCAAATAGTTGATTTAGTCATTTACTTTTGAAACACTGAGACAGTCTAAGTTCTTTAGCTTCTGATTCGACAGTTGGATCGCAAAATTATTTAAAGCGTGCTAATCTGCTATCTAATTCAAGTCTAATTTGTTGAATCGTTGCTCCCGTCCCAGTTCCCTTGGACTGAGGAGTGAGCACTGTCAAACACCCAGTTACACAATGACACAGTTATTACGTTACGCATATCAATTAACAGTATTGAGTTGCTAGCTTTGACCTTTTCCTATTGATAGATTACCCTGAAACCTTCTATAGAATAATCTAGAACTTGATATGGGCTAACACAATATCATAACATATTGCACTACATGGTCAGTAGTAACAATAGCAGTGAGCAGCTTATTCTAAAAACTTTAAGGGGGATAGTCTTAACCTGCCCTAACTTACCAGATCTTACCACTTCTTACCAGAGTTAACCGCAACTTGCCCCAACTACCTCTAACTAGCTGTAACTAGCCACTTAAGTAATAACACAGTCCCTCACGGGAGTTGGACCAGTGCATATAAATATGCGTGCTGCTTTTAGCAACTTAGAGGTTTACAAGAGGTTTAGCTGTGACTGGGAGCTCTCGTATCAACCTACTGCGTGACCGACAGACCGGTTTTGTGTCCTTGAACCAGCTCCCTTCTCTAGCGCTGAATTCATGTTAAAGACGCTTATTGAGGAATTCTTGATGTATTCATAACACTAACCTTTAATAATTGTTTATAAAAGAGTATTTATTAAGTGACAAGTGTTTCAACAAACTACATAAGGTTATAGAACATACTCTCAAACTAACTAATTAAGTCTGACAACGCATACTTAACAACAGTACTATATCACAGGACTGGTGAGAGTCGTGTGAGCGGTAGCGTCACGTCGGTGATCTCTACAACAACTGCTGCACAATGTGTGTCTACGACAGTAGCTTCCTCTGTCCTGTCGGAGATTTCAGGAGGAGACTGGACGTGTTCCAGCCCAACACCAGGAACCATTATACACCAACAGGGTATTTTGTGTCAAGAACGAGGTTAACCTTCCACCTATGACCTAACCAGATAAACAACAAATTCATAGGTTTGTTTCTATTTTGTTTATCTACTTTTGATGGTATTTGTTACAGCAGTTCATGTGTAAAAATATGTGGGTTAAATTCTATTTAAATTCTGTAATAACAAGTAGTAATAACAATGTAGTAAACGGTAAAGACAGTCAATTATTCTAGGAGTGCATGTGTTCGCACCCGAAGACGCCCTGAACCGAGTGTATATTTTCAGAATTTAAATTTTTGGCATATTATTCACCACCCTTTTTCACCGGGTCAAAACACTTTCCTGTCATATTAGAACTGATCATTTACATGATAGATCATGTAGGCTGTTTTTGGCGAAATCTGAAATTGAGAAAATGCCTAGAGGAATCATTATATTGTGAAACATCGTAGTATTGGCTATATTTCAGTGCTGGGAAGCCTCAATTCGGTTTTCTAAGATGGATATAGTAAAAAAAAATAGGCGTAGGAGCCATCAAAATTCGCATAACATTACCCAGGTTCATGGAATGAACGAAAATGAACAATAATGAATATTCTTTTAGAAGTGCTCAGAATTGGTCGGTAAGAGTTTATATTGGCCCTAGGACCACTCAAACCAAGTTTGGGAATCACTGCATGTCCAGAACGGACGTAAAAATGTTCCAAATTGTTCCAAACTTATGGATCATTGACGGCTGACGCCAAGTTTTTTTTCCGTATAAAATAGATCGCATTCCCAATTTGGGACAGTTTTAGCGCGCGCCGTCGCGCGCGCACCGTGAATCAAATTTAATTCGTTAGACAAATTGTCTAAATTGTGATTTCGTAACATGTGTACGACCCCTAACTCAACCTTTTTCAGATTTCATGTTGAGCTACGTGCCCAAGAATACAGAAACGACGTTTGCATCATTAATGTGAAAAAGACCTGGGAGAAACTCCTTCAAGCCGCACGTCACGCCTTAAGAGTGATAGCTAATATCGTTAACCCCGCTGAAGTGGTTTCATCTCATCGAGAGACTACAGATATGGTGTGTAATTTATACTTTTGGAGATTACATATTTCATCACTGGAAGATATACAGGTTATAATTGTGGGAAGTCAATCTATGTTTAATAATATTTGGTTGACTATCCATTATTTACCTCAGGAAACGTGCGAAGTACGAAGTCAGCGAAGTACGAAGTCAGCTAGAATTGTGTACTGTCGGTACACAATTCTAGCTGAGAAAGCAGAGTTCAGAGCAGAATTAAAGCAGAAAGCTGCCAACCATCACCTCTCAGCAACACAAAACCTCTTCACCGAAGCCCTATCTACATACCCACCCGAAATCAACGTGGAACTACCAAGAGTCCCTCACGAGAATTGTCCAAAGATCACGAGCAGATAAGTCCGGATCTGCAAACCACTCTGAAGCACCTACCTCACAGACTTCGTCCTACCAGCTACTTGCCTGACTTCACTGAGAGAGGAAGCGCTAGCAGACAAGGAAAGGTGATCAGGCTGCAGGACCAGCTGCTGGTGCAGAAGGACGAACAACTACAGTTGAATAGACAGCCTCCCCCCTTCCGTAATCAACCGTTATCAAGACCCAACCCCCCCGGCCCTCCTGACAGCAAAAGTACGTAATCATGTCCTGATCCCCCCCCCCCCGGCCCCCCCCTTGACTATTTTCCTAGAAAACACTTTTTCTACGTTTCATGCTACCCTGATCATGCTATGATGATGAGCCGAAATCATTGTTATGATATCCGGCCAAGCAACTTCTTAACTACTTACTACTGCAGGGTGTCAGAATTATTGGCGTGTTTGAAATTTTATGTGTATTTTATGATGAAATCAATATTTTTCGCCGGGTCATAACTTTACTTCTGAATATCCTAATTTCAAAATTCAAAAACTGGTCTGTAGATAATCGTCTGAACTTTTTCTTGATTTCAGAATTTTGTGTTGATGTACCTCAAAACCCATAATTTAGGCCGTTATTTAAAGGGTCGATTCCATACTTGGTTAGATTTACGAAGAAGTAAGAGATTTTATGTGCAATTTTTTTTCGGTGAATTTTTTCTGAAATTATTCTTTAGACTAAAGTGCACAGCTCTTCAGGCGATAGCGAAACATATAGAAAACTATAGATTTCATAAAAGCTCTCTTTCTCCTCTAACTGACGCAATAAAATATAGTCAGGCGGACTCATCCCGGAATTTAGGGTAAGCAGCCGAAGGCTTTAAGTCCAGTAATCCAAATTTTTCTCTTTCGTCGTGATTATCGACAAAATTTAACTTCTTTCGGACTTCATTTTTAGACTAAACTGTAGTATGAAGGATTATTTCTTGAATGATCAAGACTCCATAGGATCATTACTTGACACTCAGAAGTCAAGTAATGATCGTTTCTAAAAGCTTGGGTGGGCTAAAATTTTACGCAAAATTGTCTACACGCCAATAATTATGACACCCTGCTGTATTATAGCCGGATATTCGATCAATTTCTAAATTTTATCACTATCAGAGTGGAATTTGAATTAAAATATTGTCAAATTGTTATTATTCTAGAGGGTAAAAAAGAAAATGTTGATAACGTAATCAACGACCAAACCCCCCTCTATGTGTTATGATTCATGTTTGACTATTAATAATAATTATTTTCCTCAGGAGACGTACGTGCGAAAGACAAAATTTGCCTAGCTAAAGAAATTCTAGCTAAGAAAGCAGAGTTCAGAGCAGAATTGAAGCAGAAAGCTGCCGACCAACATAAACACCTCTCAGCGCAGCAACACAAAACAAAAAAAGGTGGCACCCAATCTATTCACCCAACTCCTGACAGTACATGGAATCACCCCAGACAATTACAGACTTCCTCTGGCGTTTGGTCTTCTCCCTGGAAAGCGGCAAGAACACTACACAAACCTACTAGAAGAACTGGATCGCTTTGGACCTTTCCATCCAGACACCGCCCTTTGCGATTATGAAGCTGGGCTACGGAACAGTGTCACTGCTGTCTGGCCCGGGACTACTCTACGTGGCTGCTACTTCCACTTCAAACAGGCTCTATGGAGGAACTTCGCTCGCTCCGACCTTGTTCCGGAGTATCAGGTGGTTGGATCCTTCCAACGGATCGGAGCTCTACCTTTCATCCCTCCTGGTGACGTCCACTACGCATGGCAGACCCTTAGAGTTAGACCTATCCTCTCCGCAGATATGGATGTCTTTACATTATACTTTGAGTCCACGTGGATGGGAACACCAAACAGACCTGCTCGCTTCGATCACCTGTCCTGGAACCAGTACGATTGCTGTCTAACTGGTCTCCCACGCTCTTTGAACCTTGCAGAAGGATGACATAATGGTTTCCGCAGCCTCGTCCAGTGTTCAAATCCTACCATCTGGAAATTCCTTGAAGCCCTCAAACTAGAGCAAGGACTAACAGACCAGAAGATCACGGATAGGCTGATGAGAAGACCTCCACCCCAGAGAGCTGCCAAGTGGATAAGGTACGACTCCCTTCTGGAATCCTTCATGCAAGCCTACAATAACCAGGAGTACGAAGTCATTGATTATCTCTCTGCTGTTTTTGCTGCACTATGAATTCGACATTTGATTATTGATATTAACGGTTTTATGATATTGGTATTTAGTTATACTTTCGATTGTACTATATTTCAACCTTACTGCTAGGTTATTTGATCATTGTTGAACTGTGTTTCAACGATCAATGCTTAAATTATTAGAATCTTCAATTATGTTAGGCTTGAACTACTGTGAACACAATAGAGAATTAGATAGTCAGCCAGGTCTGTAATGATTCCATTTTATCTGCATCATCCGAAAGTATTTTGTACCTTTTATTTGTGATCTTCATTGACACAATATTTGTATATCCATAACCCTGTAACACGAACAGTTTTAATATCAAAACCGAGTCTTAACTGTTAGGTTATTTAAAATAGCTGACATCGCTTTCGTAATTGGTGCATCGTGTGACCACCCAGACCACGGAGAGGAGATCTCTGTCATTCCTCTAGCAAAGCAGCCAGTTTAAATTGAGAAGAGTAGCCCCTGATGGGTGGTTACAGGTTATCAGGAAGAGAGAGAGCATGAACTGGACGAGTTTTGATTTAAGATGGTGTAATTCAGATATTATAGGCTAGGGCATTGCATTCAACAATTTTGGGCCTGCACTTGCAGATGAATCTTCGTACAGCGACGGATTCGCTGCCAAGCTGTGTCTGCAGATCGAATGACTGCAAGGTTTCTAAAACATGGCCAGGAGACGAACTGCAATGTTGACAACCGTTTACTTAAAGATTTTAGAGTAAGCATTTCATGGGATGTTTCGACTGTAATCTTGAATATGACTGAAATGAATTATTGATAGAATAAAATGTGTTTGAATTCTTGTCTTGCTGTAACAAGGAACCCACTCAATTTGACCGAGATTATTCAATAAATCTAAAGAACTTTATCAATCTAACTATTAATTAATAGACATTTTGTAGAACTAGAACTGATAATCGCATGTCATACTCATAGTAACCTTTGAGCAGTACTCTAATTATAGTCTAAAACAATTTATTGCGCTGGTCTGTGAATTGTACTGGTTGGTAAAATAGCCAAGAGCTTGCTGAAACCATGCAAACGCCCCCGTAGGTATAATGGTTGTATGTGAAGACATGTACCACGAGATCAAGTTCAACAATAATCTCACGAAAAGAGAGATAAAACATACCATTATCAATGACACTGGCTGAATCAAATGATTCTTATTATATGGCCATTTGTATGTCAAACAATACGAAAAAATAAAAGTTTGGCAAGGAATAAGTTTTGGGCCAGCAAGTTGCAAGTGCGAATTGGTAATCAGAACTAATGGTACAAATAATCATACGATAATTGATATGGTATAGTCGGTTAAGTTGATCGACTACAGTATATATGATATAGTACATGACAGTAATTTTGTATCAAGACACTTATACATATTACTTCGAAGTATTCCAACAGCTACATTGTTACACACGTGCAACCAGCCAATTGCAGGAACAAGGAAGCCAAAGGATTTATTTTGGCCAGTGACTGTTAAACTTAAAGTAGTGTGTACCATACTTACTTCGCCCGAGACTGCTGCAATGTGCAGCTCCTCATTTAACCCTCACACCCGATTTCCCGAGTATTCGGCTGAGTATACCGGGGGGCTGCATAGACCACTCAGGATCCTTAGCTGAACGTCAACGACGCTCACCCCACAACCAGGCAGACATTGGGATTCGAACTCGCAACCTCGCGGTTGCAAAGCTGGTGTTCTAACCAACTGCGCTACCTCGCCGTTGCGAGAAAGGAGCCTTCCCCTCATTTCCAAATATAGTCATTTTTGACGTCATAACCATAGTAACGCCATAACCATAGTAACGCCTAGCGATACATAATAGCGACGCGCATGTTATTTTGATATTCGTTTGTTTTATTTGCTGCGCGGTGTAAATATTTATTTTAACCAGTTATTTAGTCATAACTTTTTATAGGAACCTGCGCTAGGTTTCGCTTTTCTTGCGACATCCGATTTGGCGTTTTTCCTATCGGATGGTATATAATTTGGCCACAGCGCAGATATCGCACGATAATCTTATTCCTATGAACAGCTTGAGCTGGGAGTCCGAGCGGAGTCCGAGCTCCGCCGGACTCCGCCGGATTCAAGTCTGGCGGAGAGGTCCGGCGGAGTCCGCCAAGCACTCCGCCGGAGTCCGCGGCGGACCGGAGTCCGCCTAGTGGCTTAGTCCGCGGCGGACACTCCACCGAGCCGCCGCGGAGCCGCTCGGAGTCCGCGGCGGACTTTAAAGTCCGCTCGGAGTCCGCTCGGCTCCGCTCGGAGTCCGCCAAAATGTACTTGAGTCCACTGTAAATACATTTTGGCGGAGCACCGCCGGAGTCCGCTCGGAGTCCGGCGGCTCCGCCGGAGTCCGCTCGGAGTCCGGCGGCTCCGCCGCGGACTCGACTCCGCGACGGATAGTGCCAAAAATTTGGGCGACAAAAAATTTGAGCGGGCCTCTCGACCAAATTTTTTGCAGACCAAATTAATTGCATAAATCTTTTCCGTCTGCTAAATTTTTTGCTAACCAAACTTTTGGCATTTGGCATGTGGCCCTGAAATCTATAGAAAGATGGCTTTTTCTTCATATATGAAGAGTGAAATAATATTTGAAATTTTAGTTTTTTAATCTGTCATTCATGGCTTGACCAAGTAAAAAGGCTTATATTTTAAATGAATAGAAATAACTGGAATAGCTAACAGCTACTAATATTAATAAAACAAATGGCTAGAGGTACGGATAGCTAGAGATTTAAACAAGATCTGCAAATGGATTATCATCCACCGTTAAGTCTGATCTACAAGCATCAGTTATACCCGACTTCTCAAAGCCTTTCCTTATGTCATCTGGCCTCCCTTTTAAATATACAAAAAGTTCGTTGATCCAACCGCGAGCGTGTACTTCACGGATCACTGTCAAGCGGGTATCAATTTTCACATTGTCGGATGAAACTCCTCCATTGAGCTGACACACTATGTTTTCATAATGTGAAACAACTCAGACTACCACCTACATGCTTAAAATTGAAAGCAAAATGACCGGAATAATAAGGAATAATAATGAACTAAGGCAAATATCTAACTGAAATTTTAATAGAAAATCGTTCATTTTTCGAAGAATTTGTGCCCAAATTTTCGGTCGCCCAAATGAGTTCAAATTTTCTGCCCAAATTTTTCGGGCTCAAATAAATTGTGCTCAATATAATGGCACACAAATTTTTGGGAACTTAGGTATTTCAGTGGGTGAATTTTTTAACAATTCTGAGAATAAACTATGAGTGACAGTCTTAAAGTATTCTTAAAGTTTTGCTATAACACCTTTCCGGTCTTTCTGCCAGTTAGAGTGAAATACATATCAGTACGAGGTCTTATAATGTGCGAGGTCGAGGAATCTAATCACAACACAATTACATGACCGGGTGAAGAGGAGTATTGTTATTGATAACATATTTTTATCATTACTGAAATGGTATGGTGTACGAGGTCGAGGGTACTTTACTCACTAGCCAGGGTGATATTAGGAAGCGAATTACAGAGTTTATTTTTACTTTAATACGCGTATCGATTACTGCGTGCAAATTAATACAGGCATGGAGCTTTCCTAGCACTGCTGTCTGTTTCATTACCTCCCCTGAGTAATATGAACTGTAACAACGTCGGACAATGTCCTTGGCAACACGCTTTACCGTAATATATTTAGAGGCTGGAACAAGTTTGTAATGTTGGCGGGGACTAGCTCGTGAACTATGTTGTTGAGTGCCATAATTTTGTTGACTTTTTCCGCAAATTGCCCCTTGAAAACATCATATATTATACTAGCAGAGTTTTCTGTGCCTCCGGCAGACTAAGGAGAACCTTTCTGTCGTTAACTTACGGCACAATAAAGTTCTCATAGTTGTCATATTCTGGACAAAAAGTTCGAATTTTTGAAAAAATTCAACAGACTTTAATTTGGACGGACCTTAAATGAACGGACTTTATTTGAACTGACATTAAAATGAACGTTAAGGCCTCCAGCGTTCAATTAATGTCCGTCCAAATAAGGTCCGATTAGGTATGAGACCTCGGTAATCACTAATCCTTCTATTCTGATTCATGACTTAATAAAATAGACGGAAAACTTACCTAACAGATAAATATTTCAGAATATTCCAGAAGGTTATGGATTATTCTATGAGTACAGAGTAGCCAAGCCTGCAGCCTAACAATTATAATGAATAATTCGTTTATTGAATTTGCATTTTTATTGTTGCATATATGTTCATTTTCCACTCTATTCATATTGCAAGATAATTATTGTTATTATTTTAACCCTTGCACATTGCACAAACTAATCATTAAGGATAAGACCGAGTTTGTCTGTCTACTTCTTTAAACCATTTATTTATTTATCTACAATATTATGTTTTTTTGTTTGGTTATATAACTTTCATATAACTGATTGGGATCTGACACATGTAATTTTGTAATGATCTTTCTAATTTCTAATTTCTGATTTCTAATTTCTAATTTCTAATTTCTAATTTCTAATTTCTGATTTCTAATTTCTAATTTCTAATTTCTAATTTCTAATTTCTAATTTCTAATTTCTAATTTCTAATTTCTAATTTCTAATTTCTAATTTCTAATTTCTAATTTCTAATTTCTAATTTCTTATTAACTTTACCTGACTTTAGTAGGAGTATTCCAACGAAGTGAAGTAGAAACAAAGATGATGGTCTTGCTAACTGCATTAGTAGTAGCTGCAATACTGGGT